GATTTCTCTCTCATCTCCTCCTTTTGACAGATTTATTCCCTATCAAATTAAGGTCTACTGTACAGTAGAGATGTCAGTTAAAGGGTTAAGTTATGTTTTAGGTGGGATATAATGAAAAGCAAAAAGCAGAAAACAAGACCAATAACCTTGATTTATTAACACAGTATACCCCATTTCCCCATGATATGTACTTACAAGTCATTTGCCCACTGACAACTATAGTTGCCGCTTGGACTTTTGACTAAGTATACAAAAAACTATAGATCTCCTGTAAGATTGGTTTTGTTTGGATGATTCTAGAGACCTTCATGATTATGTAGATATTTATATGTCAACAAAAAATACTTTAGTAACATAAAAATTACATTTCTTTGCGAGGGTTTGCCTTCGCCATGCTTCCTGGAAGTAGGGCTAGGAACTTGACAGCCTCATGTGACAGGAAGGAAGTGAATACCTTTTTTTTTTTTTCTTGAAATCCTTTATTTGGTTGTTTTCTTGCATGTCATTGAGAAATAAAACATGGATAACATCTGTAAGATTGGTTTTGTTTGGATGATTCTAGAGACCTTCATGATTATGTAGATATTTATATGTCAACAAAAAATACTTTAGTAACATAAAAATTACATTTCTTTGCGAGGGTTTGCCTTCGCCATGCTTCCTGGAAGTAGGGCTAGGAACTTGACAGCCTCGTGTGACAGGAAGGAAGTGAATACCTATTTTTTTTTTCTTGAAATCATTTATTTGGTTGTTTGCTTGCATGTCATTGAGAAATAAAACATGGATAACATCAAGAAAAATACTTACAAAAGGAAAATGACAACTATAAATTGCGGCAACTAGCCGGTGGGCTTAAATGGGTTACGTAAGCATGATACAGTAACAGTTTTCAGAATTACCTCATTCATAACAACGGAGGAACTGCAGGAAAACATCAACAGACATTTTTTGCTATTGACATATCTGACTGAACTAGAAACTTTCCAACGATGTCTGTGAAAATAGGATGTGCACTCAACAAGCTCAAAAAAGATGTGCGCTTAAGCTCATGCTGTCACGGTGCACCTACTGCGAGGAGACATGGGAGAATCCAGAACAATCAGACTTTATTTACAAATACATGGGAACACATGCATAACACACGGGGATTGACGGTTAAGACTAGACACCAGACTCAGGAAAACACAGGGCTAATAAACACAAGAAAATTAATCAGGGAAAACTGAAACAGGTGGAGTGATTAATCAAAAACCATGGAAACTAAAGAGGGAACACCTGAAATCAAATAACACAATCAACACGAGGGAGAAACTAGGTCACAGGAGGGAACATGGAACACGTGGGAGAGGAAAACAAACACCAAAACAATACATGGGCGTGACATTAATCTGCCCTCCTGGAAGGCGTGTCCCACGCCGTAACAATTCCATCGGGAAGGGGGGGCAGGCGCTCTGGAGGCCTCTAGGGACAGGCTTACACGAGACGGATGGCCTCCAGGGCGGTACCCATTCCGGGACCCATGGCGGATCAGGCAGTTTAGGAGCAATGGCGGAGCAGGCAGCTCGGGGAGCCATGGCGGAGCAGACCGTACTCAGGAAAATACAGGGCTAATAAACACAGGGAAAGTAATCAGGGAGAACTGAAACAGGTGGAGTGATTAATCAAAAATCATGGAAACTAAAGAGGGAACACCTGAAATCAAAGAACACAATCAACACGAGGGAGAAACTAGATCACATGAGGGAACATGGAACACGTGGGAGAGGAAAACAAACACCAAAACAGTACATGGGCGTGACATTAATCTGCCCTCCTGGAAGGCGTGTCCCACTGGAGCGGACTCAGGGGCTCGAGCCAACAGTTGCCTCCTCCTCAGAATCCTCCCTTGATTTGGGGTTAAGGATCGGGCTGCTGTCAGCTGAAGGCTTGGGAGTGACCCGGCCGGCGGGCTTGACAATGGAACAGCCGGCGGGCTTGAGAGTGCAGCGGCTGGCGGGCTTGACTGAGGAGCGGCAGGCGGATGGGACTGTGGAGTAGGGATGTAACCATTACCGGGTAATACTGGATTAATATTATATTTAATACATACATTTACTTCATAGACATCTTTAATATCAATTCTGTTTGTTCTAATGTCAGTGTTTCTTTGTCTTGAGGCAAACAATGTACAAACACTGCATTATATCATTTTTGGTAGTGGAGCATTTTAATGAGTACACAAGGGCAGTATTGTGCATCCCTAATTTCTATGTCAGAGTAACTCAAAATGATGGAGCAGGACACAAATCAACAAATTTGGCTGCATCGATAAATTAAGTCCATGGTGTATCCCAAAAATGCTATGTGTGTCTACACATAGTGATATTAAGGGGTGTAAATGTTTTTGTTTTTTTTTCATTAAAAAAATCTGCCATTGTGCTCTTTCTTGTAAACCATTGTCTCTGTCTTGTTTGCCCAATTTGTAGAAATATATGATGGTATATCATCCATATAGACAGCTGGCAAAATTTGCAATTTGTTTGATATAAGATATCTGTAAGTCATCTGTAAGACATCCCAAATCACAGATGTTGATACGTTAATCTTCATAAAGGTCTTTCCACACAACCTCTCCTCACTTAAGATGTGCCCTTGCCATTACTAATGCATCACTAATCACTAATACACTAATCCATCAAATTGCTTTAAGTAGTACATTTGTTAAATAGTATATTCAAAACTAACACACTGAATTCCTGTGAGATCACGTTGGTATTTCCAGCTCTTTTAAAATTTAGAGACAAAATCAGTAAATAAGTTATTTAATTAGCTTTGTTGTTATGCTTTTCTCTCTGCAGCCGGTGACCGGAAGACCAGGGAAAGACGCAATAGGAGCAAGAGCATGGATGGACGCCCCAAAAGTAAGTATTTGACTGAAACAGAACAGTTTATAGATTTAAATTGCTAGTACTGCTTTTTCATTTCATTTCATGGTGTGTGTGTGTGTGTGTGTGTGTGTGTGTTTTGCAGTGGACAGTAGTCCAGATTTGGATTGCCCTGACAGTAAGTCAATTAACAGAAGTGTGATATAGTTTTATAGTTTTGATGAACTGTGACTGATAACTAATGTTAATACATTTATATGTTGGTTTACTGATACTGATCTGTTGAGTTATTTAATATACAACAAAGATCTAATAATCAGTTCTTAATACTGAAGATATATTTAAAATAACTGATATTGTTAATAAATACACATGAATTAGAAAAGGGAGTAACATTTTTAGTTTAGGGGGCAATTCTCACTATTAACTAACTATTAACTACGACTTTTGCCTCAATAAACTCCTAATTTGTTGCAAAGGGGTAATCCAACAAACGTAAAGCAGGTAATCAGGCAGAATCATACATAGAACAGGCAGGCAGAAAACAATGGAAACGCTTGGTAAGGCAGGTGAACTGGCAATATTTCGCAAAGGGCAAATAGACAGTCTCTTGCTAAATACTGATCAAACAGGAAATGAGCGTAGAAGCAGAGGGAGCAGTACACAGTCAGTACTCAGGCGAGGGCTCCCTCTGCTGGTGCGTTGTTACAGAACCCCCTCCTCTGGGAGCGTCCCCGTGGTCGTGGTGCTGGTCGATCGGGTCTGGCTTGATGAAAGTCCTCCATGAGATTAAACCAACTACTGCCCTTTTTCATAATTTATCCATGTAGTTTTCATGGTAAATGTGTCATTGGGTTCTAAATGCTTCAAAGGTCTGAATATAAAGACAGCATAAAACATGAACAAAACAATGATAAATAGGTATAAATATTGGAATCAATTTGCAGAAGTTTATTAATAGCAGACTTAAGTGACAGAAACGTTAAGCCAGGCAGAAAGTCAATACCACAACAGCAGTCCAATCCGTCAACATACACAAGGGTGATCCAAAAGGCAGAGACGAGTAAGCAGGCAAAAGGTCGAAACACAATCATCAGTCCAAATCAGGCTATCAATCCAAAGGGGTAATTCAGTAAATGTAGAGCAGATAATCAGGCAGAATCATACACAGAATAGGCAGGCAGAAAACAATGGAAATGCTCGGTAAGGCAGGTAAACTGGCTATACTTCGCAATGGGCAAATATACAGTCTCTTGCTAAATACTGATCAAACAGGAAATGAACGTAGAAGCAGAGGGAGCGGTACACACAGTCAGTACTCAGGCGAGGGCTCCCTCTGCTGGTGCGGTGTTACACCTTCTCAAACTTTTGCAGCAGCAGTGTTTATTCTTGCCTTGTAAATGCATTTAAATTAATTACATTTTTAATTACGACATCTCTTAGTCTTTAGCAAAAAAGTGAATTGTGCCAACTCTCACGAGAAGTAAATCAAACTGCCGCTTTGCTGACACTCTCCACATGTTCCATGTGATTGGCTATTTGCTGCATGTGTCACACTTTCAGGTGCACGCACTCAGGAGCTAATCACAAACTCTGGATCAAACTCTGAGTTGACTGAGAACATTATAT